CTTTACAGTGTTTATTATAATGTTTGTAAACATTTCGTGCCTATTTCTGAATGAAATAATAAAATGCGACTTAAGTTTTTTTTTCCTCTAAAAAAAACGAAATTCTTTTTATACGTGTAGCGTATTTCAACCATGCAGCAAACCTTTTTTAATATTTTGATAAATTACAAAAAATAAATAAAAAGAATGACTGATACAGGTGTGTGCAGATCTTGCTTTCTTCATAAATGATCTGAAACAATGAATCTGCTGAAGTGAATCGCACACTGCTTGAGTTAGTAGCATCACTAGTTTAGGCAACTTTTGCTCTGTTTGGCAAAAACATTTTCAGAGGAGCACTAGGAGGCTGGAATGAAGACTAAAGCAGTTTTAATGGTTGTTTTGTAGCTGTTTGCTCATGAGGCGCTGAAGGCTGGATAAACTCCCTCTCCAGATGAAGGTGTGATCTATGAATGCATCTCTCACATACTGCACATGATCTCAGTGATGATGTCAATAATTCAGACACGTGTTTTCTCATTGGATAAAGACACGCAGTCTCATGAGTAATAATGAGACACTGATGAGGCAGAGACGCACTAGAATGTGAGAAGCGTCACATCCTGATGAAGATGAAAACTAAGCAAAAGAGCTCTACGTGATTCTCTTATGATTAAAATGAATGCATGCTAACATCGTCTTTAATGATGTTCAGTGTAGTTTAGTGCTCGGCAGCCAGACGGCTCACTCACGGATGTCGTCCTCGTGGTAGATGACGGAGTGGAACGGGACGTTCTTGTCCTGCAGGTATCTCTCGACCGGCTCCACATAATACGTCCCTCGATGGGTCTGAATGAAGCCCTCGAACTTCCCGTCCACGACCGAGCCGTGCGTCAGAGAGCCGTGTTCACCTGAGGAGAGACGGATCAAACCTCACTAACTCACGAGAAGAGCCGGATCTCCGGTCAGCACAGCCAAACCAACCAGATTCATTCAGCTCCTCAAGACTGGTTCATGTTTCTGAGAGAGTCTCTTCTGCTCACCGAGGCTGCTTTTATTTAATCAAAAATACAGTAAAAACTGTGAAATATTATTACATTACACAGCTGTTTTCTATGTGAATATCTGTTAAACTGTAATGTATTTCTGTGATGCGCAGCTGTATTTTCAGCATCATTACTCCAGTCTTCAGTGTCACATAATCCTTCAGAAATCATTCTAATATGCTGATTTGCTGCTCAAGAAACATTTTTATTATCGATATGGAAGCATTATATATGCACGATTATTATCAATGTTGAAAACAGTTGTGCTGCACAATATTTTTGTGGAAACTGTGATGCATTTTATTTTTCAGGATTCACAGATGAATAAAGTTCAAAAGAACAGCATTTATTTGAAATGGAAATTTGCTGTAACATTATAAATTTCTTTACTGTCACTTCTGATCAGTTTAATGCGTCCTCGATGGATAGACGTATTGATTTCTTTCCTTGAAGGGTGTGTAAACACACTGGGATTCATTAAGGATAATGTAAGCCTCATCTAAACGTCCCGACGGCTGTGATTGGTGTTTCTGCTCACCGTACAGTTCTCCGGTGTAGATGTGCGAGGTGTCGTAGTCCAGCTGCTCTCCAGACATCTCCAGCTTAAAGCCGTCTGAAAACAGCCTGCTGTCTCGCTTCATTCGGAGGCTGAAATGTCTGAGATGGAAACAAGCAGCAAGAAGAGATGAACACACACACATCACAGGACGAGAGACGGTCACATGACCTCAGCTCTACTGTCACTCAGACCCTGACGAATCACTGATACGACCCACAGAGGGACAAATCCACTGACTTCTATTCTCTCTCAGAAACACAGGCTCAAAGCTGTCACTGGGGCAGCACTTTTTCAGAAGGTTCATCATCACTGTACCTCATTTAGCTCTGAACGGTCTGCACTGGTCCCTAAATGATACAGATCAGTCCATAAATACACACATTAGTACTTTAGTAAAGCTGCCGCCCCGGTGACAGCTTTTGTACCTGTGTTTCAGAGAGTGTTGAGACTGAAAAACCCAGAGTTCAACAGAAATAATGTAGATCTAGTGTACGGCCATCAGATCTCTCAATGCCGTCTGGATAAATTCTAAACAAAAACCATTTCTCATCATATACACTGCTGTTCAAAAGCTTGGGATCAGTGAGATTTGTAATGTGGTTTAAAGAAGTCTCTTCTGCTTAAGCCTGCATTTATTTGATCAGGAATACAGTAGAAACCGTAATATTGTGAAGTATCATTACCATTTAAAATAATGGTTTTCTATTTCAATATACTTCAAAATGTAATTTATTCCTGTGATCAAAGCTGTATTTTCAGCATAATTCCTCCAGTCTTCAGTGTCACATGATCTTCAGAAATCATTATAATATGCTGATTTATTATCAATGCTGGAAACTGTTGTGCTGCTTAATATTTTTGTGGAAACTGGGATATTTTTTCAGGATTCTTTGATTAATAAAAAGTTAAAAAAGAAGAGCATTTATTTGAAATAGGAATCTTTTCTAACAATATACACTACAGTTCAAAAGTTTGGGGTCAGTATTTGTTTTCTTTTTCTGAAAGAAATTAATACTTTTATTTGACAAGGCTGTTTTAAATTGATAAAAAGTGTCAGTAAAGACATTTCTAATGTTTAGGTTTCAAATAAATGCTGTTCTTTTGAACTTTATTCATCTGTGAATCCTGAAAAATAAAATGTATCAGTTTCCACAAAAATATTGTGCAGCACAACTGTTTCCAACATTGATAATAATCAGAAATGTTTCTTGAGCAGCAAATCAGCATATTAGAATGATTTCTGAAGATCATGTGACACTGAAGACTGGAGTAATGATGCTGAAAATACAGCTGCGCATCACAGAAATACATTACAGTTTAACAGAGATTCACATAGAAAACAGCTGTTTTAGATTGTAATAATATTTCACAACTTTACTGTTTTTTTTCTGTATTTCTGATCAAATAAATGCAGGCTTGGTGAGCAGAAGATACTTCTGATGCCAAACTGAACAGCAGTGTGTGTGTGTTTTGTGTAATACTATTTTTAATTGAGGTTACATTAAAATGCTATTAAAATGGTTAAAGCTGACCTGAAAAGATGGTTCTGGGGCATCCAGGCTGATCCGCTCCACCGTTTGCGTAATAGTCGATGTGACCCAGGACATCACGATAGCCCAGCGCTGCAAGAAAACACCAGCCATGAGTTAACCACGTCTAGATATTCATGTTCTATCTTTTTTAAAAACGCATTAAAAATCTTACTGATCCCAAGCCTTTGAATGGCAGTGTGGATTAACAATCAGATAATTATCATGACGAGATCAGACAAGCGGAGTCTTTTAGCGTTTATAAATCTTCTCTTAAGCTTTTATGTGATTATTTTGTAATTGTTTATTTTTTTTTATTACATTCTACTTAAATTGTTCTGATGCGGTTTTAATTTGGCCTTTCAAAGTATATGTACTTTACTTTTGTAAAGCGCTTTGAGATACAACTTTTAAAGGCTCTATGAAAAATAAAGTTTATTATTATTTTGCTGCGTTCAAGCTGTGTCTGCATTACTGCACGTATGAAACCATAACTATGAGCCGTTCACATCACGTGCAAATCATTAGTTTCTGTGATGCCAAGATGGGTCCAAGGTGTTTGAGCAACAGTACACCGGCCCCCCGCTGAAGCTCCGACCGTCATCAGAAGGGACATGACCCGCTGAAGACGCTCTGCTCGTGACTCACCTGCCGTGTGCGTGGAACTCCAGCTGCAGCTCGCGCTCCTGCAGTGACAGCGCTCTCTTGGCTCTCTGGTGCCGGCTGTGCAGCAGCTCCGTGTCGTACGACAGACCCTCATAGTGCCGGATGTACTTGCTCAGGGGGTTGCCATAGTAACCTGTCAGACCACATGTGACAATGAGCACGCCTGCGATTGGCCCGCGGTGATCACATGACTCATTCTTCAGTACAACGAGCTCATTTCACACATAACACACCAGATATCTGCAGTTACAGGGAGGTGAAAGGAAATACTAGCACATCAGCATAAACTGAGGACAAACGTGTATATGAAACGTCTTCAGATCTTTCATGAAGCCCATCACATATATACAGGATAATAACTAATACAGCACAGTGGAACATGAAAGAGAAACATTATTAATTTCATCTATAGTACCAGCATGAAGGGAATTCTTATGAAAAGTGTGAGCCGTCAGTTCAACATTAAAAAGCAAAGCTGCCTTCCATTGAGCCGGATTCATGCAGTTCTTGTAATAACACATGTATAAGACAGAATATTACAGGTTTAAAAGCTATGGCTGATGATGGGTTATAATTGCAAAAAACATCTTATTTTAAAACCATAAAATGCACATCCTTCTTCTTGTACATTCCTGTTCATCTGTATATGTAGGGCTGCATGATTAATCGAATGTGATTGTCATGCAGATTTACTGCTGATCACAGAACCGTGCTTCACTGAAAGATACACATGACAATCAGCTTCTGTCGAATCGCGATCTCGATTCCATTTCGATTTATCGTGCAGCCCTATGTATATGTATTGTGTTTAAGTCTACTGTATACGGTCCTGTACTTCAGGCTTCTTTCTTTGTTACCATCTTATCTCTGTTTATTTTTTCTTGTATACTTTAGAAATAATTGCACAGTTTATGGAGCGGACCTGATGTACATTTCACTACTGGTTATATATTCTCTACACAAATAAAAATCTTGAATCTTAAAAGCTTTTGTTACTTATAAAATATACTGGGGGGAAAAAAAACTTATTTGCCAAGGCAAATGTTCAAATTTTCATTAAGTTTAAGTAGAAGAAATAAAATAGCGTATACTAAACCTCAAATAAAAATGATTTAAAATCGAATAACAATACACAAAAAATTACTACAACTTTTAAATTAAAATTCTAAAATGAAAACTACAACAGTGCACCAATCACACAAAAATAACACTGGTGTGTCCATCATATATAACAATATTAATAATATCAACTTTAAATGAATGAAGATCGTATTGCTGAAATGAAACCTTATTTGAAGAGAATATCTTGTGCATGTATTTTTGTAGTTTTGCACAGAGCTGCGGAGGACACCGAGCGATGCAGTAAACACACAGTAAACAGCAGTCTCGGGATGAAGCAGAAGTGTTTATGGATGAAGCCTCGTCCATCTTACGCTGGATGTGTGTTCATCGTGTCCGCTCTCCTCTACCGGCCGCGGATCCTCGCGTCCCTGGGCTCATTCGACTCGTTTCAGCTCAAAGAACCCTTCGGGACCGAACCCGCCGCGAACATCGACGGGAAATCGGCGGATTTGCGGGAATGTGGGAGTAACGGCCGCACTAGCGTTAGCCGAGGCGCGCAGCATCCCTGAACAAGAGCCGAACCGAACCGCGTCCAAACACTCGCTCGCACGCACACACGCACGCACACTCACCTCGAGCGGACCTGAGGGCGCAGAAGAGGCACAGCAGCACCGACAGACGCATGTTTAGCGCATGGATGATGGACGGGCTGGGTTTGATTGTTTACAGCCTCAGCCTCGGGTTCGGGGATTGCGTGCTGACGTCAGACGCACAGAGGCCGTCAGCGAGCCCCTCCCCCGCGCTCAATCAGAGCCGCGCGGTGCTGCATGTCATTTACAGAACCAGATTCCAGAAATTAAGAATAACTGGAGTACATTACATTTTAAAAGGCTAGTAATCAGATCACAGTTACTGTTTTATGGATTACATGATTACATGCTATTCACACAACAGCAGGAAATTATAATTTAGCCTACTGATTCTCCCTAATTATTTTTTCTCTTTTAAATGTTCCTTTCTAAAATATCACTGTGTGTCATATTGCATTTACTATATTCACAGGTTGTTTAAATAAATGAGCAAGCCATGCTTCTGAATTTGAGGGAAGAGCGTATGAAACATGATCAGTGTAGCTGTGAAAGCATCTCATGCATCACCTGCTGACTCTGGACTAAACCATTTCAGACCCCAACACTTTGATCTCATTGCTGATTTCATGTTTATTCATGTTTGTTCATGTAATGCAGGCATTCCCAAACGCTTTTGTCACCAAAAACCCCTTAAAATAAAATATTTGCTTGAAATATCTCTGAGGACGTTCATATTGCAATAATTGAACAATTCGCATGTTTACAGTTCTCTGATGTTGGTTAAAGGCCACACTGACATTTAGTATTTCAATTATTATTATTATTATTATCATTTAATCATTAGCCTTGTATCGCCTCACAAACCCACTGCAGTTCTGACATTAAACCCAGTTTGGGAAACTTTGCTGTAATGTAATGTTTAATTCATTTTGTGATGCTATTATAAAAAGAATAGAATATATTTTCTTTCTTTGTTTTTTATATCAATGTGTTACATTTAATGATAAGTTTAAAACAAGTTAGATAAAAAGTAATCTAAAAATGTGTCAGAATAAATGACCTAAGATGTGTAACCTAAGATTTCTTCCTAATCTGTAATCAGTAACAGACAGACATTAGACTCAGAAGTGTATTTTTTCCACAAACGGACTGATTTTTGGAGCAACTCTGTGTTTACGTCTTGATGACTTCTTACAGTAACAACACACAGTGAAAAACTGTGATTAAAATTACATGGCAATAAGAGTAAGATGCACGTCAGCTACATGTAAACTGAGGTATGAAAGCAAAACTAACAAGCACTAGTTATATAATGTGAGCAGCGCTGCAAGTCTTGTGAAATAAAAAATTTTGTTATTAATTATTAATAATTAATTGAGTTAAGGCTCAAAATGCTGCAAACACCAGACTAAATGATGTTTTTCAAGAAAACAGTCATGGTTTTAGTGTAAATGCATTAATCAGTCTGTGTAAAGACACAAGCGCCTCTGTGCCTTTGCAGTAACTCTGGTGTTAATAGAGAGCACCGTGTACTAATACAAGTGTTTTCTTTATTTCTCTCTCTGCTTTTACATATTTAAGGTTATTATAAGCTATAGTTTTTATAAAAACATTTAAGACAGATCATTTATTCTTTGACATGTCTAGAACCAGTTGAAGGATGTTCACATCCATTTCTCCACAAAAAGGGTTTTCCTCCAACTCTTGAGCTTTACTTTTATCAAGCCATTAAAAACTGCAACAAGAAGAAGACAGATATGAGTTTCCGTCACGTATAACAATCTAAGTTGTGTATGGCCAGATGTCATTGAGTGGGTTTACATATACTTAAATATTAAAAATCTGTTAAAAAAAAGAAAAAAAACATGAGATTTTGAAACTGTTTAATTTTTTGAATTATTGCTCCAAAAAAAAAAATGTAATACATGTTTTTGCGCCAATACACTTTTTTGTATTTTTCAGAGCTGTCATTTCAGTGTGCGGAGATTTTTCCCTCATATACCTGAACCCAGTTTGGGCTTTTCGGATCTGCACACCTTTTTGTATTTCTAAGAAACACCAGTTTGCAATATCAAGCATAACGGACTGTTTTTGCAAAGCCCATTCATATGTATTAAAATTTGTTCCGCTTTCACTGGCATCGTTTTTTTTTTTTAAACCAACATCAGTCCTTATCATAACTACCAAAAATTTATTCATTTTCAAGATTTTTAACCCTTTAAATTGCAGTTTGTTTACATAACACGGTTGTTTTTATGAAAAAAATATTTTACTTATACTTAATGCTAAGCATGATTAAAAATGACATTAATTTTGATGCATTTTTTGTGCAGTGTTATATTAAAAAAATGTATAAACCACACTCATATCCACACCAACACACCCACCGAATTATGATTACAAACTCTCAATCTAATTGGTCTTTTTTTTTTCAGCAGAAGCAGAAAAGCAGCGTTTGCTTCATGGGCCAAACATGAGAAAACAGTGCCATCACGTGGAGGGACGAATAGTAACAATGTTAACAAAGGCTGCGTGATTCTGCTCTGAAATGGCACTGGGATTAAATATTGCAGTTTCAATGGCTTCGAATGGGCACATTTTTGCCCTGAAGGTCCAGAGTAGCTATTTTTTTATTTTGTTTGTATACCTACTGTAAAATAGATTTAAGAAAGAAAATGAGGGC